TAACTCTGCATTTAACCAGAAGAAAATAAATCTACGTAAAGCTGATTCCTGTTTCCTGTTACTTCTTGGGGCCTTCAGATAAAAGAACTGGCTGTAGTTAAAACTACTACTTCTAACATCACTCTAAAATATTATACTGATTAAAATTATTATGGTTGAGCTAAGCTCTTGATCTGAATAAAAGTGAAAGGTCTCACATCACCGATCCTCAGCTGGCTTGGGGCGGGGTGGTGGCAGGTTGGCCAATTGTTCCTCTTTTTCCCTTTTGGCCATGATTCAAGCTTTCACAAGGGGAAAATAATATATAAACAAAAATATCAAAGCTCATCTGGTTAAATCTTCAAAACTCTCGGAGAGAAATAGGACAAATTCAGATAAACAATGTTTTTCTTGGTCAAATCTTCTGTAACTCAGGAAACCATAAAGACATTGAAATGTCTAAAATGGTTTTCTTTTCAAGCCATCTTTCCACACCAGGCCAGGTGGCATTCTGTTAAAATTCTTCATTCCTTCTTCAGTCATCTTTTAAGCAAGAATTCAGTTTTCCCGCTGAACTGTGAGGCTCCACCACTGCTCCATCGTCCCCCGTTGACATCCATTCCTCCCTCACATGTTGAAACCACCTGCGGGGGAACACCCACAGAAAGGTGCTCTTTCTCCCTCGTTGACATCCATCTCACCCTCACAAGCTCGGTGCTGGTAGGGGAAGCCCACGGAAAGGGGCTCTCTCTCCCTTGGCGACATCCATCTCCCCCTTACAGGCCAGGGCCTGGGGGGGAGCACCCCCATAGGGGTGCTCTTCCCGGACTGCCTCTCCACAGTCCTCGGTCTCCTGGAAGTCAGACAATCATCCGGACAGAGTCTCCGGCCACAGTCATGGGAGAACTCTCTGTTCCTCTTTTTGCCTGGGTTTTTATAGGGTTCTGGTCAGTAGTCTTTGTCCTCTCATCCAACCAGATGCCGCAGTTTGCAGTTAATACCTTATTTGGCGTGCAAAATCATATTGTTCTGAAGTATTGCATATTTTTTATTGTCATCGCTCAAGCCTGCTACCCGTAACCAGCCTTGGATTCTACTTTCTCTTTTTTAGAAAGCTAAACCATCTCAATACATAGCAAAAATACAAAAAAAACTCATCTGACTGAAATATCAAAATTCCATCCTTGCTTTTTAACAGAACAATCAGAATTACACACTGATTTTATACAAAACGATCAATGCCTTAAAATCAAAACATAGATCTTTATATTTTGAAATCATTACTTGATTAAATATTCATTATCATTGATTAGACATTGATGTGTGTCTACTTCCTCTTTTCTGTGATTCTTGTATTTTTCACTCTGAGATGTAAATCACTTCTCCCTATTCTTTTAATACAATCATTTCACATTTTTTTCTTACACATTCACTAATGATTATTTCAAACAAAACACACACATCTTATGATTTTCCTTACTTATTAAAAAGCTTAACTTTCTAAAAATTCTGCCATAGCATTTTAATACTAGTTCCTTTGTCTTCTCCAACCTCCCCTGAAACTTCCTCTTTCTCCTCTGCTTTCTCTGTATCTTGGTGCTTTTCGAGGCCCATATCTACAGCTTCGCTGACAAGGAGGGGCAGGGAATGTTGTTCAGAAGAAGTCTGTCACAGTCAACCCCCATGTATCCACTCTTCTAAAGAACCTCATAGACTTTGAATGGAATTTCACTGGCCAGTAAGCGATCTCTACCCAGTTCACATCAACACAGCAACGGTTAGTTCCCAGTTTTTGTCCTAGATTATATACATGTTCTCCTGTGCCTCCTTCCTTCTGCTTAGTGTACAGTCTCAGGATGCCAGACTTGGGGTGAAACCTGCCGTGCATTGTAAGGAGCTTCCTTGTCTTGATGTCAGTGGCCTCTATCTTCTCCTTTGGCCAGCTTATTATGCCAACGGGGTACCTGATGACCGGCAGGGTGTAGATGTTAATCGCCCGGACTTTGTTCTTTCCATTCAGCTGACTTCTCAGGACTTGCCTTACTCTCTGCAGGTACTTGGTAGTTGCTGCTTTCCTTGCAGCCTCTTGATGGTTCCCATTTGCCTGCGGGATCCCAAGGTACTTGTAGCTGTCCTCAACATCTGCTATGTTACCTTGTGGTAGTACAATCCCCTCAGTTCTGACTACCTTCCCTCTCCTTGTTACCATTCGACCACACTTATCCAGTCTGAATGACATTCCGATATCCTGGCTGTAGATCCTAGTGGTGTGGATCGGTGAGTCGATGTCTCGAGTTGATGTGAAAATGACATCTGTCTGAATTTGTAGAGCACAGCTCATAAATGTAGCAGCACCATTTAAATGTTTCATAACACAAAATATAAGTGAAGAGTATATAGGATTGTTACACCTGGTTCTTTAGTTGAAAGTGTGAGAAGTGAAGACAGAAGAGGACTGTATAAAATCAACAAAAAACTGAATCAAAATCTGGTCACATGTAAAGCCATACAGCACTGGGCTCAGAGAAACGGAGCTTCCGCAGGAACCTCGTCATCAAGGGGTACCGGACTGTTGTCTGTATTTCCATTTATCTTCGTGGATGGGAACTGCCCCATATAGAGGTTGGACTTACACGTATCATAATGCTATTGGCCATAGGCGTGAGCAGGCCAACCTCTGTTCACGTCAGCTTACTGAATATGCTAATCAAATGGTGTGTGAGTGTTGTAACTCAGGCGGTAGCAAACAAAAACACGAACATATGGTCATCTTCAAAGGGCAGACATCCTGCATACACATTCTTTAACAAACAGGAAATACTAAGCAGTTTTAACAGTCATCAATGCAATAGTGAAACATATAATTAAGGAATAAAAAAATAGGAAAAGAAACTTAAGTTCATATGATTCAAATATTACAGGGTTACACTCAGACATGCCAAATAAGAAACATGGTCTTCAACATGAGTTCATGTTTATTTCATATTTTATTGTCAGCTTGAAACCATACAGCCATGTAGTGTAGTCAAACAGGGATATGCATGGAGAATCAAATCTCAAACAATCCATGAACCAATGTCATGTCTTGATTGCACTTCATTTTATTCGAGCACTGTGTCACTGAAGCCTCGAGTAATGAACCATTTTTTGAATACTGTGTTGAAGCTCAACAAAGCCTCGATCAGGCATCACTAGTTGTAGGTAGAGGTTAGGTATTTAGTTTTGACATTGGACATACATAATTGAGCAATGAAGCATGCACATTTGGTTAATTTTGTATTGTTAATGTGTGTACATTTTTCTTTTGAGTTCCCATGTTTCATGGCTGGGGGTGGTCCTGTGAAAAAGACTGTACTGAAAAAGCAGAAGGTTTAAATACCTCCCACTAGTCCTGGACTGTACCAAGTGCCCAGTACAAGGAATGGGGGAGTTAAGGAGAAATGTATTGTTTGTTTGTTTGTAGTTTATGTTAAAACTTTGTTAAGTTATTGTAACCCACCTAGAAAGGGTTAATGATTTCTTTTTATTTATTTCTGAGCACTATTTATCTTATTTTCTGTTCATATGTATTTTAGGTTTTATTTTGAAAAACTGAATTTTATTTTGATGAGACAGGATATAGTTTGCTACTGCTTCACTTAGCTAGTTAGAGAGGAGCACTGTTTTGTCTCCTCCATGTGGGTAACAGAAAAGAAAGAAAAAGAGGTGGAGAAGTATCAAAGAGGATTTAAATTGTTGACTTTTCCGGTTAGAAAACTCCCGTCTTGGTAAGCAAACTCACCTGTTCTCAGTGGGGGTGTGTATGGAAATGCCACGTGTTGGTCATGTTAGCTGCCATTGAGGAGATTTTGTACGTTTCATGTTGGAGAGTGTATACTACTAAAGAAGGTTTATGTGAATTAGTAAAATAATTGGTTGATGTGTGCTGTGTGAAGGAATAAGCATGTTGTGAATATCTTACACTGTGAAGTGCCTACAGTAGTCATACTGACTATATAACGATGGGTCAGTGATATGCATTTTAGGTTATTTAAAATGGGTGAAAAAGAGACAGCTATGCTGTAAATTATGTTATTGGTTGTAAACTAGAACCCTATAATTGCTTTCTTTATTTAAAATCTAAAACTCCTATGTTGAAGGAAAAAGGTAATGTGGGTCTAAGTGATTCATTGGTGAAATGTGATCAGTTGTGAATTAAACCATTGTATTTTATTAGAATTACAGTTGGTTAAAATGGCATATGTTAATATGAGAGATTACAGTAAGATGAACTTGTAGTTAACTATAGTTAAGCATCTTTCTATTGGAGGAGATAAATTTACTGTTGTACAACAAATACTTGAATGAGTTAAAGAATCTAAAACAATATAGTGTAAAAGCCTGTACTATACACCCGTTTTATAAATACAGGTCAAGTCTTTCTTAGCTGAGTGGAAACTGAGGGACTCCAGTCACGTCTTTGTCAGCTGAGTGGAAAGTGTGGAACCCCAGTCCTTGTACCCTACAAGGCTGACCAGGATCCAGTGGATGGCGAGCCTCCCGGTTGACTTTTGAATCTACACCATACCTGGCAACAAGCTCGGGGTAGGGTTGTGTCGGTCCTTATGGTTGATACCTACAAGAACCTATGGTGGAAAACTCTCCTGATTTAACTATTCTTCAGACTACCAAACGTCCATATTGAGTGGATACACTTTTCAAAGTGAACAAACTGAAAAAGGGACAATTGTTTCATTTTATCAGATTACGGGGCCTCAGGTTGTGTGTTTATATGGTGCATTTCTGATTGTTCAAATGTTGACTAAATGTTCACAATGACTGTTTACCCCTGTGTCACTGGTTGTTATTGTTACTCTCAGCTCCTACGAACCTAGGTTAAGCAGGTGTACATACTCAGAAGTGGGTTACATTATGTTATTGTGTGAAATGCAGGACCTCTAGACTGAAAAACTCTTTTTTTCCCTCTGCCATCAGACTCCTAAACAGCTGACAAGACACGGTGTAACACAAAATGCACTTACAGGTTGGTATAACAGTCCAAGGTCAGAGCCAGCAAACACATACAGCAAAGGAATCCAAAATGCATTGTCCATAGGGAAGTCCGATAAATAATACACAGTAGCAGTTTGAAATGAGAGGGCAAGGCAGAACAGAATTGTCAAAATACACGATTCGGGTCAAAACACAAAATACCAAAACCAAATAATGCTGGAGTCTAGAACAATCAGCATCCTGATGAGAGGACGCTGCCTAAATAGAGGTGAAAACAGGTGCAAACAAAAAGAAGCAGGTGAAACGAATATGAGTGATGATGAAAGTAAAAAGACCGAAACTGGTGAAGCAAAACAGGAAGTAACATCAAAATAAAAGCACGACAGGAAGCAGCGGAACCGAATCATGACAGACTACTGCACATGCAGCAGACACTCTTATTATATTCTTACTGTATATATTTTTATTATATCTCTGCATTTGCTGCTTAAAGTGCCTTAGAGTTTGTGTTACTTGTTCATCTACTTTATATTTCATTTGTATTGTGTGGCATTCATGTGGATGGCAAAGTAAGAATTTAATTGTACAGGGAAACATGTTTCCTAACTGTGCATATGACAAATAAACAATTCCCCTGTGTGTGTGTGTGTGTGTGTGTGTGTGTGTGTGTGTGTGTGTGTGTGTGTGTCATTTGTTAGGTCAGTTGGTTTTGTTTGAGATACTGTGCAGTTCAGTTTGCTGCATTTTGAGTTTCCTTACCTTTTGTTGACCTCTTTTAGGGCCCAGTTTATTTGATATTGATGTTGTATGTATTTTTCCTTGTTTTTAGGTTAATAAAAAGCTCATCTTTTTAACTTTTAAAAGCTGTGTTCTCTGGTTACTGGTTGGTCCCTGACATAGACAAACTACAGTCCTACCTCAGCTTCACATGTGAATGAATGGAAACAATGAAACAAACACCATTAAACATTTTTGAGGTTTTCATTGCTGCCTCTCCATGACTAATTCATATTATTCATGATAAAGATTAAAAGGGGAAATAACAAAACAGGCAAAGAAAAATATTTCTGCTGAATGAAGAATGTTGTTAATGCTTCATCCAGACATACAGATCTAGATGGTGAATCTGAAAACAAATACAATCTACAAGATTTGGCTAATATGCTTGAGTTGGTTCTGTTATTCTTCTGTTTTGTTAGAAAGTAGAATTAGCAGCAGCATCCAATCACCAACAGGTTGCTAATAAAGGGGTGTGTCAGTCAGTCAGTCAAAACTTCTATGAAAGATGGTCTCATGGCTCCACAGAGAACCCTCCTTGCTCAGAGCAGAAATAAGAGCTTTGGGAACGATTTACTGTATGTATCAAGCAAGGACCAAACAATGATCAAATACGGGACCTGGGATGTGCCCATGTACTCTGTCTCTGGTAATGGGTTCCAGCAGACTTTCGATACAGTGGCGGGAGACAAATTACTCATCAGACAGTATTGGTAAACCACCACTGTTAACTCCTAGAACCATTTTTTACATTGCCAAGTAAACAGTGTTACATATGTGGCTGGAAGAGAAGAAGAAGGCAATCTGGAGCTCTAGAGAATGGGGAATGGAAGACTGGGACATGAGGGAAAAAAAGATTCTTGGAACTGGAAAACAAAACAGTAATATGAAGTAGAAGAGGGAAATCAGTCATTCAGAGGCACAGAGAGGGGTCAGACTGGAGTCAGCTGTTCTTTTACTAGGACCAGTTAAAGGTCCTGCACATCCATGGTCCACCCACACATGAGCTATCACTTGCTTTGGTGATTAGGGGTCATTTTATGACTGTGTTGGAATGTACACTGCTACAATATACCAAGTATCTGTGTACATGTAGGATTGTGTGGGCACCATGTTTTACAGTATGTGGGCAGCATGTCTTATAATAACAGCTGTGGCACAGTCAGAGTGGATTTTATGGAGCTCAGAAACAGTCTTGCCCAAAGCAGGAGACCAGTAAGCCAATACTCCACTGTTACAATCTTGTCAAGAGTCTGTCTGGAGCCCTTCTCTTCACATGGTACAGTTAGGGTTCGGCCAAGTTTTATTTATTTATTTTTACCAACATTTGTTTGTTTGTTGGATGTTCGCAGCATAACTGCATAAGTAATGAATGGATTTGGATGACATTGTTTTGGAGAGGTAGGGTATGGCTCAAATAACAGTTGATTAGAATTTGGTGATGATCTAAATCATCATCCAGTTACAGGAATGTTTTAAAGCACTCCTCACCATTGTTTTTAGTGAGGTGATTAGCACAGAGCCTTGGAGGGCAAAAAACCCTTCCAACATGGTGGCTAACACTGAATATTCAATGGAACTGCAGCACAGGCCTGTTAATTTTCTATGTTCTATGCAACAGCTGGTTGTGTTACGGCTGAGCCGTATCTGAACAGAAAGGCAGGACTCAGGGAGATGCAGGGCTCGTACCCAGGTCAGGGAAATATTTATTTAAAGAGACAAGAAGAAGACTACGAGGATCCGGCGCAGGGATTCATAGGGGGTCTCGTCAGCTGGGGCAGCTGTAATGACTGGACCACTGGACGGGCAACCCAGGGTTGTGGGGAGATGTGGTACACTGTTCAGGAGCAGAGAAGGAGAGCGTGAGGGCTGGGAAGGTTGTCTCAGGAGCTGGAACCGGAATGGGGTGCATTGAGTCCCAGAGGACAGCAGAGCAGGTAGGGGGGAAGACGCTTGACTTCCAGTAAAAGAGACGTAGGCAGGAGCAAGACCCAAAGCTTCACTAATACAGACACTAAACACAAACCTCAGGCGGGTACTTCAGAGCGAGACGGCAGAGCCCACAGAGTTGCTATCAGCACCAGGAAACAGTTCACAAAAGGGCATTCCTCAGATAAACAGTTCCAAAACTAAAGCAGTCCTTAGATAAACAGTTCCAAACATAAATCACTTCTCAATTAAACAAGTCCCAAAGCAAAGCATTATTCACTTTTCAATTAAACAAGTCCGAAAGCAAAGAACTTCTTAGTTAAGCAGTTCAAACGTAAAGTACTTCACCGTGAAGCAGGTCGAAAAGAAAAAAGTTCTCTGGAGTAGTTCAACACATGCGGATTGAGAGACCGGGAGCTTTGCGAAGATGCTAGTAGAAAGATGAGAGTATCATCTGGCGACGAGGACGCACCAACGCTGTACTTAAGTACTGCTCAGATGATTGGGAGCAGGTGTGCCTCGTCGCCGAGAGTGTGCATCTACAAGTGTAGGGGTGGAGTCCACAGCACCCCCGGTGCCTGCTGACGAGGTGCTGGGAATGGCGTGAACCACAGATGTAACAGGTTGTAAGGAACAAGAGGTGAACCTAAGAGCTGTTCTTTTTATCTTTGTGCCAAAATGTCACTGCCTGTGCTCTAAATCTGCTCCACCAAGAAGAGAGTGAGTGAGATCTAGCAAGATAGCATGTCAATAAAGAGAAGGAGTAGCTCTGGCAAAACTGTTAGGTACTTTCTTAGTTAGATAGATATTGGTTAGAGATCTGTTGTATTAGAAATGTTAGTGGAGACAGATTGACTAGCTCAGGCTGTTAACTGTTCAGTAATGTACTTGCAGTGCAGACTGCAGGCAGGTCAAGGTTACAGGCAAAGAGCTGTTAGTGTCAACTGTAATGCTAGTCTTAATATTTGTCTTAATGTGTAAGGTTATGTCCAATTGTTTTAGATACACACCACGAAAACAACAGCCACACACCTTGACTTTTCCTCATGTTTTGGCTAACGTTATCCGGGCTGCTTGGGCAGCCTGGGGGTTGGGAGATCTCTGGACCCGTAATGTTAATTCTTGCCTGTGACTCTTTGAATAAACCAGCACGGTTATATTTTTTATATACTCAAGTGGTCTGAGTCGTCCCTCTGAGTTCCTGGTTTGAAAGAACCGGACGAGGCTTTATAATAGAATAGAGCCTTTAAAACAAAGCAGTGAATCAGAGAAATAAAAGTCATTTTTTGATTCTTTAATGGCAGTTACATTCTAAAGCACAAATACACACTGGCACACCTCTGCACAACCCTTGGTAATGGTGCTCTTGTAGCATGTTAGCCAAGAAATGTAAGAAAGCTAGATAGATAACTCCACTTGGAAATTCACTGATATAATGTATGGCTGTGTCCAAAATCACTCACTTCTCATTGTATATTTCACTAGATTGGGGATTTTCAAAGTGAGGGAAAGTGAGCCTCCCCTCAGAGAATATCGGTATCCAGTGTTCTTCCACATTCAAATTTAAACTGTGGGCTACTGTTACGAGTACCAGGGCTGCAGCACATGTAAACAGTTAAAAGTATCCTGAAAGAAATTATGAGACAGGGAGATGTGGTTTCTCTTTTCTGCATTCTCTGCCATTATGAGGAAAAGGCGGAGCGTGCACTCCCATTTACAGTCCCTAGAGTAACCCACAGTTCACCTGCTGTCGGAATGGTGCGACTACAGGCATAGTACTTTAGCATTTCAAGAGTACATAGCATCTTTTCAAGAGAAGATAGAACAATACACATTCACACAAATGTGATCACACATTAGTGGGCATCACTACTCTTACATCAAACTCAGTTGGCCACCAAACCAAATCATCACGGTACACCATGCACCACGCACCCCTCCCCCGATGACAGGCATGTCTCACACTTTGAAAACCACTGCACTAAATAGTGTGCATTTTGTAGTTGTGTCCAAATGCCATAAATCCATCCGCTATACAGTACAGCACACTCAGAAATTCCACTAAAGGACAGAAAAAGAAGTGTACATGGCACTTAAAATGATGATTAGTATACAGTATGTCCAAGATTGAAATTTTTACTGCTCACTATTGAGTGAACTATTAAGTATCTATCATACAGGGAATAGTGAATGAGTAAATAAGTTTAGACATGGCCCATCTCTGTCTTCACAACATAGTCCTCACTCTAAAGTAAATTACTTTTCTCTTCAGCTTTATTGGCCAGGTGTGTTGGACACGAGGAATTTGACCCTGGTACAGCGGCTCTTAATGTGCATGTGCATATCCCCATGCAAGGCAACAGCAAGGGGCAAGTAAACAATATACCAACATAAGGTATATTGCCTGTTAGGCAAATTGCAGGGGGGTCCAGTGATCTACGATGTCCTTCAGGTGGGCCAACACCAGTCTTTTCAAGGACTTCATAACTACAGAT